TTGTCTCTGCAGTTCTTGACCAGGCTGACCGAGAGATTCGTGCTGGGAGTGGATATGTTTATGGAAACAGTGTGGAAAGTTTGGACGGATGTCATGGATGTTCTTGGCCTTGACGGTAGGTTTGGCGGGGAGGGGAGCGTTCATTCAAGGCGCTGTTTCATTCCTGCGGTTCTCGAAAGTGTGAAACCGGCACCCACGGGACAGGTTAGCCGAGTGGTTAGATGCCGTATCGTGGCGGGGGGAGGGGCAGCGAGGATGCGGACGAAAACTCCTTCTCGGAGTAGCTGCATCCGTAAGTGGTCCATCGAAGCTGGGATTCACAGATGCTTCTAGGATGAGGCGCCGGTGGGTTGTGCCCTGCCACGGGATTCGGGGGCTGCTGCTGGAACTGTTGGAGTCAAGAACACAGCCCAGGCCTGGGCTGCCACCTCTCCCTCCAGGAAGTCTGCAGCAGCCTCCTGTGTCAGCGGCCCCGAGACCACCCCCAAGCTCGGGGACACTCTAGGAAGGCTCACAGGACCCGGCACGTGGTCGGACTCATGGCTGTGGTTTATCCCAGCGAAAGGGCGCAAGGCACAATCGGCCAAGGGAAAAGCCACGTCGGGTGAAGCCCAGAAGAGACCAGGATCCAGCTTCCAGAGTCTTCTCCCAGGAGAGTCACAGAGGATGCTCTTAATTCCCCAGCAGTGAGCCGTGACAATATGCGTGAAGCGCTGTCTACCAGGGGAGCTCCTTAGAGACTCAGCGCCCAGGGTTTTTATGGGGCTGGTCACCTAGGCACCCTCCGCCTGCCACCGACCAAAACAACTCAACTCTGAGGTGATCTCCCTGGAGAGGGCGTCACATTCTTCAGACCCCACCCGGCAAGGGCTTGGTCCCACGAGACCGCCCCCACTTCAGATGCCAGTTGTAAGTCCAGGTTGTCCCCCCGTGCTTCTGGCCGAACACCTATGAATCAGAGGTTCCCACGACCCCCTCCTCGGGGCCACATAATTTGCTGGGGCGTCTCGCGGAAGACAGGAAACCAGTTTCCTAGATCGCTGGTTTATTACAAAGGATATAACGCGGGAAGAGCCAGATGGACCAGAGGCACGGGGCAGGGCCTGGGGGTGGAGGGCACGGAGCTTCCATGCTCTCTGAGCTCCCGGCCCAGAAGCTCTCTGAACCCCCGACTTTTGGGTCTCTCTAGAGGCCCCGTTCTCTAGGCACGACGGATGAAATCACGGACCATCGGTGACTGATTCCGCCTCCAGCCCTTCTCCCCGCAACATAGGTCAGGGGGCTGGACCCTCCAACCCTCCAATCACGTGGTTAGTTTCCCTGGCAACGAGCCCCCATCCTTAGGGGGCTTTCCAAAAGTCACCTTATCAACAATCATCAGGACTCCGTCATCACCGTCATCACCGAGGAAATTCTAAGGGTTTGAGGAGCTCCGTGCAAGAAACGGAGACGAAGACCAAATATGCATTTCTCGTAAATCACAGAATCACATTCCGGAAATGCTGGTTCCCAGACACCGGCCAAGGGCCGGGCTTGCCAGCGGGCCTTCCTAGGGAGGGCGGCCTCGGCCCGCCGTGTAATCTTCCCTGCGCATCTCCTAACTCGGTTCGCTCCCCTGCCGCCGGTGGTCGCTCCCCAACCAATCAGCCAGAGGGATTTTTCTTTTTTCGTTTTTATTATTGCTACTTTTATCTAATAGAGTGATTAAAAAAAAAAGACCCACAAAAATGTAAATCGGTTCAAGTCACTCTCCTTAAAACTGCCCAGCGACTTCCTGTTGCACTTGGACTTGATTCAGCGTTCATACCAAGGACCGTGACCGCCAAGCCATCTGCCCAGCGTCCCTGCCTGACCTGCCTCCATCTTGTTCTTGGACATGCTCTGGCCTGTCACATTTTCTACTCCGTCTAGGTGTCCCCTGCCTGAAGCGATGCCCCCTGCCCTTTGCCTGCCCATTCTTTCCTGTCTTTGGGGCTCTGGTACATGACACCTCCTCTGAGGCGCCCATCTTGATTACTCTGTAGAAGGGAACTTTGTTTTCATGCCACCCCTTCTCCTTATAGTACTCATCTGCTGTGATGTCTGTGTGTGTGTGTGTGTGTTGGGGGGTCCTGCCTCCCCTCTGGAGTCTCGGCTTCTGTGAGCGTGGTCTTGCCTGTCTCCTCCAGGCTGCACCCTTGGCCCTGGCATAAAGGGCCCCATCATTACAAAGAGTCGGAGGACTGTCGGTCCTGCTGCTTTGATGCTGGTGTGAGGTGAATTATGTCCTTCCAAAAAGCCCCGGTACCTGTGCACATGGCAGTCAAGTTAAGATGAGGTCATCCTGGACTAGGGTGGGTCTGAAACCCAATATCCTTATAAAAAGAGAGACATTTGGACACAGACACAAAGAAACACTAGGAGAAGATGGCCATGTAACAGTGGAGACAGAGACTGGGGTGATACGGCCACAAGCCAGTGGACACCAGGAGCTATTAGAGGCTGGAAGAGACAGGACAGGGTCCTCCTAGAGCCTTCGGTGGGAGCCCAGCTCCCCCGACACCCTGATTTCAGACATCTGTTCTCGAGAATGCTGAGAGAATACATTCTGTTGTTTTAAGCCACCAAGTCTGGTCGTTTGTTACCGCAGCCCCAGGATGTGCAGAGTCCCTCAGAATCCTCCCGTCGGCCCTTGACACCCCCGCCTCACAGACTGGCGACCTTGGCTCGAGATTGAGCCGAGCCTGGGTCACAGGTGGGCCGCCTGCTTTGCATCGGCAGTCACTTCCCTCAGCCACTTGACACCATCTCCAGCCTTAAATCCTTGAACTTAAACCTCTGAGAGGCCTTAGGCTGACTTGGGCACCTTGCTGCTCAGGTACAGAATTGCAGGCAGCAGTGTGGCCCTCTGAGAGAATGCCGTGCCACCTGCAACCTCCTGGGACCGCTGCGGCCCCTCCCGGGACACGGGCTGAGCCAACGCACAACCCAGATTCAGCAATCGCATGCAATCCAGCTCGAATCTGTGTTCACCACCTGCCCAGATTGTTAAGCTGCCAGTATTGCAATCTCTGACCAGAGAGCCCTGGAGAAATAAGCCTGATGGCAAGAAATTGCGTGTAGCTCGGAACGAAAAAGCACAGAGTAGAGACAGCCTTCTAATTATATGGGGAGGACCAGAAAGGAACCGTCTGTCACAAAGCCACGAGGCCGTCAGTGCTCGCATTCGCTCCCATTCCGAGGCGAAACGACTCACGTCCATGCCGTGGTTTTCTCCTTTTATTTGATGCATAAGCTTCAAAGCATCCGAAGGCCACTGGAATTTGTGTCTTATGCTTAGACATCCGAGTGTCTCAAAGCCCTTATAGGAAACTGTATTCCCAAGTGAGATGTTCTCATACAAAATCTTTCCATGAGCGCGGTCCTCTAATCTCCTTCTTCAGAATGTTCCAGGTGCTGGTGAAAATGGGGACTTCTTAGCCCGGAGCAGTCTGATGGACATGGACTGCCAGCCACATATATAGTGTGGAATGTTCTAGTTGGCACATTAAGGAAGGAAAGATAAACCGGTGAAATTAATTTTAATAAGGTGTTTTAGCCCAATAGATCCCAAGTAGGGTCATCCTAACTAGCTATCCACATGGAGAAGGATTAATGAGGCGTCTAACGTTTTGGGGGGGATTCAGTCTGTATTTGACACAGCACGTGCCAATGTCGGCAGTCTCCTGTGGCCGGTGGTCACCGTAATGGACAGCACAGCTTTAGATCTGCCGGCTCAGGACGCTTTTCACAGAAACAGACCACTTGTCCAGGTGTCGGATGGATAGATTTACGGCCCTCATCTTCATCAAGCCATTTGCTTTCTCTGAAGCCCCTGAGACCACTTCTGACAAACATGGGGAAAATGTGAATTCCGCTTCGACTCCCTGCTTCGAAATTCCAGCTTAGCTCTGTCCTCGCTGTGGGACTCTGGGCAAGTCACTCTTTGTGCCTGACGCCCCACGTGGAAAACACCGTGCGTCTCAACAGCACGTCGTGAGGTTTGAATGACAATTTGTGTAGAGGGGCCAGAACAGCGCCCGGCCCATAGAACATACCTGATAAACACTCAGCGGCTTGTGAATGAGCTCTGCTCCAAGAAAAGTGAGTCATGCTGCAGCTCTGGGAGCCGCCCGGTCTCGGTTCTCCATGCTGGGGGCCGCCGGTGTCTGTGCCCAGAGCCAGCTTTTTCCTGCTCCGCCCGCGGGGACTCTGCAGACGTGCAGTGACGTAAACCTGGGCCAAGCCGAGAGGCAAGTCTGCCACCAAAATGCCCCGTTTTTTTTTGAGCAATACCTGTTATGAGTTGAATTGTGTCTCCCCAAAATTAATATGTTGAAGTTTTACCTCCCAGGACCTCGGAATGTGACTTTGTTTAGAAATCGGGTCATTGCAGATGTCAAGGCGAGGTCCTACCAGAGTAGGGTCGCTCTAATCCAATAGAGCTGGGTGATCTCCTAAGAAGGAGACTTTTGGATCCAGAGGCGCACAGGGAGAAGCTACACATGAAGATGAAGGCAGTCATCGGGGTGATGCTTCTACAAGTCTGGGACGCCAAAGATCGCTGACGAAGCACCGGAAGCCGGGGAGAGGCCTCGACGAGAGTGTCCCCTCAGAACCCTCAGAAGGGACCAAACCTCCTGGCACCTCCGGCTCTGACTTCCGGCCTCCAGGCCGAGACAATACATTCCCATCGTCTAAGCCACTCAGCTGGTGGCACTTTGTTATGGCAGCCGCCTTGGGAATGAGCGCAGCATCCCTTTGCTCTGCAGCGGGATGTCCAGAGTTGCTCAGGCTCTCGGGCCTCTGGGGAGCAAGGATGTTTCTTTCCGCCTCTCTTGAATGAAGTGGCCGTTTTTACTTAAGTCCTTGAATTGTGGCGTGCGGGTTAACCTCAGCACCAGTCCAGGATTTCCCCCATGAGTCCCTGCACCTGCTCGTCACCGAATTAGCCCTTTGATAACAGGATAGTCCACGTTGTATGGCTTTGGACATATAGGCTAGCTCGATGGTTCTCAAAGTATGCTCTGAGGAATCCGGGGGGGGGGGTCCCTTTTTTTTAGCTACACGTCTTCGTGAGGCCAGGCATTCAACACATGCTTCAGCAATTTCTTTATATCGATTACACGTGGATAATATTTTTGCATATATTAGGTTAAACATCTTAACATTAATTTTACCCGTTCCTTTCTGCCTTTTTTAATGCGGCTACTAGAAAAGTTAAAATAGTAGGTGACTAACATTTGCGGCTGGCATGCTATTTCTGTGAATTCAAAAACCAATTTGAGAATGCAGCTCTGTCCTAACGAGCCAGAGATGAAAGAGAGATGTAAAAAATGCAAAACAGTGTTACCGTTCTCACTACGCTTTTTTGTTTTCGTTTTTGGAAACAGTTATTCATAAAAAGTATATTATTTGTGTTAATCTATAATGGGTTCATTGTTATTTTTAAACATAATAATAGCAATGTTTAAAATTTATACCTTCTGCCTAATGTTGCTGTGACCCTAAAACTCCTTTGAAAAATAGTCTATTTAAAAGGACGCTTAAGAAAAATTCGCCTGAAAGTATGAGGTATGTTAAAGTATAAAATCACAATGAAAACACTTTTTTAAGTTAAGAGTTTATTAAAACTTAGTTTTAGTTTCTACTGTGGTAAATATAAACAGACAACCCCTATAAATAAAAGCTCCCAGAGTCCCGAGACCAAAGGGCTTGGTTTAATCTCATCTGCTGGCTTTACGGGGAGTCCCCAGTGATCCTGCGCCTTCGGCCTCAGAGGAAGCATCTAGCTTGTGCGCAGGTAGTAGACAATCTGACCCCCTTACGAGGTTACGGGGAGGGTGTAGGATGTTCACCCTGTAGATGCATTTAGAGACCTGAAAAGCCCCAAGTACAAGTCTTCCCATCTTGTGCTTGCTCTGGGTCCACACTTACCCACTCCGGATGGTCACAGCCTCCCCCCCCCGCCCCCCCATTCTTCCCTCTCCTTCGTTGAGTGGGCTGGCATCGGCTAGTAGATCTCAGAGCGAGGTCCTCAGGTCAGTGGCGGCGGCGGCAGCAGCAGCAGCATCCCCAGGAACTTTAAAGAGGTTCAGACTCCCTGGCCCACCCCAGACCTACAGAATCTGATATCCTCGGGTGGGGCCCAGCCGCCTGTGTTCACAAACCCTTCGGGGGGTTCTGGGGCACACACTCAAGTCTGAGAACCGCTGGCGTAAGTCAGATGCCCTTAAGGTGTAATGCCCCTTGAGAATGAGGAAACCATCAGACAAATTCCAGATGCGGGACTTTCTGCAAAGAAAACTAGTCTGGAAAAACTAGCCTTCAGAGTGTCAGCCTCACGGAGGTCTTCTGGACTAAAGCAGACTGATGCACCACGGCCACTTGCGTCACATGGATCGTGATTGGGTCCTGGGGTCGGGGAAAGAGAACAGATATCATAAATATATTCCCGGATAACTGGGGGAGTTTGAATGATAGTATGAAATTTAATATTCTTAGGTGTGATCATAGTAGCATGGTTTTAAGGAGAATGTTATTTTTATTCTTAAAAGGTGAAAGGCATCTGAACTGGAAAGGGAGAAGAAAAACTGTCACTATTTGTAGATGACATGATTTTCTATATGGAAAATCATAAAGACTTCACCAAAAGTGGTTAGATCTAATTAACGAATTCAGTAAAGTTGCAGGATACAACATTAACAAACAAAAATCAGCGTTTCTATACACTACCAAGGAATTATCTAAAAAAGAAATAAAATGATCCCATTTACAATAGCATCGAAAACAATAAAATGCTTAGGAATAAACTTAACCAAGGAGGTAAAAGATCTCTTCTCTGAAAACTATAAGACGTGGATGAAAGAAATTGAAGACACAAAAAAATGGAAAAGTGTCTTGCGTTAATGGATTGGAAGAATTAACATTGTTAAAATGTCCATACAACCCAAAGCCACCTACAGATTCGGTGCCATCTCTATCGAGGTTTCAGTGGCATTTTTTACAGAAGTAGAAAAATAATCCTAAAATTTATACGGAACCACAAAAGACCCCAATTAGCCAAAGCAATCCTCAGACTTCCTGATTTTAGGCTATAATAATCAAAACGGTATGGTACGGGCATAAAAACAGACACACAGACCAATGGAACAGAATCGAGAGCCCAGAAATAAAGACGTATATGGATGGTCAACTAATATTTGACAAGGGAGCCAGGAATACTCAATGGAGAAAAGACAGTCGCTTCGATCAGTAGTTATTCACATGTAATACTGGATATTCACATGTAAAAGAATGAAACTAGACGCCTCTCTTACACCACTCACAAGAATGAACTCAAAATGGATTAAAGATTTACATGTAAGACCGGAAACCATACAACTAGAGGAAAACATAGGTGGTAAGCTTCTCGACATCGGTTTAGGTGATGATTGTTTTTTAGATTCGACCCCAAAAGCGAAAATAAACACGTGGGGCTACATTGAACTCAAAAGCTTCTGCACAGCAAAAGAAAGGATCAACAAAATGAAAAGAACCCACGGAATGGGAAAAAATATTTGTGATCCATCGACCTGTTAAGGGGTTAATATCCAAAATAAAGAACTCTTAAAACTCAATAGCAAAAAAGTAGTCCAATTAGAAAATGGGCGAAGGACCTGAAGAGACATTTTTCCAAAGAAGGTAACCAATGGCCAACAGATACATGAAAAGGTACCGATCAACACCATTCGTCATCAGGGAAAAATAGATCACAACCACAGTGAGACGCCACCTCACACCTGCTAGAATGGCTATTTTCAAAAAGACAAGGGATGGCAAATGCTGGTGAGGATGTGGGGACAAGGGAACCCTGGTTGCTTCTGGTGGGAATGTAAATTGGTGCAGCCATCATGGCAAACAGTATGGAGGATCCTTGAAATCTTAAACATAGAACTACCATATGACCCAGCAACCTCACTTCTGGGACTATATAGCCAAAGGAAATGAACATACCACGTGGAAGAGACGTGTGTTCATTGCACCGCTATTCACCATCACCACAACTTGGAAGCAACCTAAGTGTCCATCTGTAGATGAATGGATAAAGCAGATGTGGTATATATACAACGGAATATTACTCGGCCATAAAAAGGAAGAAGTTCTGCCATTTGTGACAATACGGATGAACCTTGAGGACATTGCGCTAAGTGAAATAAGTCAGAAAGAGATAGACAAATACTGTACGATCTCATTTATATGTGGACTCAAAAAAAAAAAAAACTTATAGAAAAAAAGATCCGATTTGTAGTTACTAGAGACAGGGTGGGGGCGGGCATGCAATTGGATGAAGGACGGAGGCGTCAAAAGGCACAAACTCCCAGCTGTAGCATAAGTAAGTCCCGGGTGTCAGGTGCAACGTGGTGGCTGTTACTAACACTGCCGTGTGATACATTTGAAAGCTGTTAAGTGATTTTGCCTTTTTTGTATCTATATGACACGATGGATTTTAAATAGACTGTGGTAAGTGTGTCACAGTATACGTAAGTCTCATTATTGCTGTGCTCTTAAACTTGTGTGGTGCTGTATGTCGATTATATCAATGAAACGGGGGCGGGAAGTAGCATGCCAAAGTATGATTGTGCATCTTTCAAATGGTTTGGTAAAAAAAAAAGTATGTGACTAGAGAGATGAAGGAAAACATGTAAAATGTTAATAATTGTTAAACCTAGGTCGTTTCAATAGGAGTATTTATTTCACTGTTCTGTTAACTTTTCTGTTTGAAAATTTTCTTAAGTCGGGCACTCAGAAGATGCAACTCCTGCATTTCACTCCATGCTTAGGATGGAACTTCATGTGTGGGTACCAGTTACGATTAGGTTTGGCTGTGAGTAAGAACCCCCAAATTACAGCAGCTTAAACAAGATGGAAGCTTATTTCTCTTACATGAAAATTCACAGGTAGGTGGTTAGGCAGGTAGGTGGCTTTGCAGCACATCGTCCTCAGGGCCAAGTCGCCTTCCATCCTATTGCTCCCCAATAGGTATCTTTTCTTCCTTCATGGCCCAAGACAGCTGCTCGCTCTCCTACCATCGCATCCACATTAATTACAGCAGCTTAAACAAGATGGAAGCTTATTTCTCTTACATGAAAATTCACAGGTAGGTGGTTAGGCAGGTAGGTGGCTTTGCAGCACATCGTCCTCAGGGCCAAGTCGCCTTCCATCCTATTGCTCCCCAATAGGTATCTTTTCTTCCTTCATGGCCCAAGACAGCTGCTCGCTCTCCTACCATCGCATCCACATTCCAGCAGGCAGAAGAAGAGGAGGTAGGGCACATTC